CACATAAAAAAGTAAAATGAATTTTAAAAAAAGCAAAAGGATTGTAGAGAGCAGGTATTTCTGTGTATTTCCCCTTCTGTTTACATGTCATTATTACTTTAAAAAGAGGACATCACTAATACATTTTCAAGCAGAATTGTAGAAAACCACAATCTACAAGCTGTAAGTTAGTATTTGCATTACCCAGGGAACAATGATATATCAATTTAAAAAACTTCTAGGAAAATCGCAATCAATATAGTCAACCTAAATTTGAAAATAGCTCAAAGTACTCTTGGTTATTATAAGAAATTAGGAATTAGGTAATTTTAATATCACAACATGGCTTATTACTTATATCCTAATGGAAAAATAATATCTTAATCTTGTGACATTAAAAACACAACTACTCTGTCTCTGAAATGGAATATTGAAGCATATTCAGTATGTTTGGCCTAATTGGAAAAGAAAAGAAAAGAAAAGAAAAAAAAAAAAAAACCAATCAAGGTAAAATTACTAACACTGATACAAAGATTTACTAGACCTCCAAGAAAAAAAAAGTGACCCTACATTATGAAACTAGTAAACTTAATAAAATGAGAACTCAATTGGGTGCCTACTTCCTACAAAAAGGAAGGTGTTTAACAAGGATGGGAGCTTTGACTATTGTTGCACATCTAAGTATTCAGAGTAGCAGGGCATTTATAACGTATGTATGTTTCCTCAAAGGATAATAGAGTCACAGTGTCTTATGGTGAATCAAAAATTTTAGAGTGAGACAAAGGAGTTTAAGAATAATTTTTGGTAAAGGAAATCAGAATACAAGAAAAAAATTAAACCTTATTCATGTCTTTAGGAAACAAACAAAAATAAAGCAAAGCTAAAGTTACAGTCTAGAATAAAGTCACACTCCACATAGTTTTAAGATATCCTTTATTATTCCTTCCATTTTGTCTTTAAAATATTAACTTCTCCCAACACCAACAAAGAGCAACAATCCTTGTAATAATTGTGATTAAGAAATAGCTGTTTTCTAGAAGATGGTCGGCAGATTTTTGAGCAATAAAGTCAATATCTTTTTCTTTGGTAGACTTTTCTGGAGAAATGAATGCAAAGATCCACTTCAGATTTATAAACTCAATTTTATAAGTAAAAATAGAATTAAAGGAATAAAAAGGAAACTAGGAAGTACTCACCTCTTCACGTAATTTTATCAACTGCAACATGAATGCATAAAAAAAGATAAAAAGGAAAGAAATGGCAGCAAAGAAAGATCAGTTGTGTGACAGGATACAGAATTAACATTGACAATTTATCTGTTTACATGTTTAGCATTTAAAAATCACAGACAAACACATTAAAAGAACCTAAACATAGACTACATGCAGAGTTTTTTGAACGAATAAAGATCACTTTCTCACACTGTCACATTAAACCAAGAGAATAGTGTGAAATTCTCTTTTAAAGTACATCTAAGACACCATCATGAAATAAAGGGGAATGACTTCATAGAAGTCTATATTATAAAGAAAGAAAACAAGTTTACTGTTCCTCTCTTCTAAGAATGTACCACTGAAGAGGTTTTGTATATACAAGTTTTCAGGTTGTTTCTCTATTTGGAACCTTGACAGCTGATTTCAGATTTTCCAACAAATGAAAATGATTAATAGCTCATGTGTTGGTTATACTAAGTATTTAAAACAATAAGTTATTATGTGGATCTATGATTGCTTTAGGAGTTAACACTGTTTTACTTGAGAATAAAGCATGCCAGTAAAGGTAATACCTATATATGACATAGTAACAGGAAAACTTCACTATGCCTAGAAATATCTTACACACTAGAGTTAATTTCTAGATTTTTGTTTGGCTTGCTTTTTGTTTTATGACAACTATAATCATATGACATAGTTTCATTTTAATTTTATGTTTCTTCTCCTGTCAATTGCCCTCATCTAGTAAACCCAGCCATTTCAAAGCAATGAATTCTTAATTTATTTGTATTGCAATCTCTTTTGACTATAGTAGTATCAATAACCACTCTTATTTGTACATATTTGTATCTCCTATAACATTTTAATTCTCCTTTATAAAACATTTTTCTATTTGCCTTAAATAACACACAAAACAAGTTGCTTAACTCTTTAGAAGCAGGGGAAAAATGGTAAGAGTCATGTTTGCTTCATCTTCTGTGTTTGACACTATTCTAAACCACAAACAACTTTGTAGTTGAGACGACTACCAGATTTCTGCAATGAACAGAAACTGAAACCCATGTTTAACAGATCCAAGTCACATTCTAGGTCTGAAATTTGCATCGTTAGCAATTCAGCTCTACCAGTGATAATTTTTAAATATCCAAATATCTGTAACATTCTGTTTTAACACGACATATGCAGGCCAATAAATTAAGCTATTGCTTTGAGAGGAAGGTGTTACAAAATGCTCACTATATATCTCTCTAAGACTATCATGTTTACTGTGATAGTGTGCAATTCTCAATGCCTAATGCTGTTTTTGTCTCAAATTCAAAGCAGGCAGTATGCATTCCAGCTTATTCTGTAATTGCAGTTGTTATATGAAAAGTATTTCTGGTACAAAAGAACGAAACTTCAAAACAGTTATGAATCCTTTATGAAAGGAATATAGTTTATTATGTAACACCTTACTATGTGTGTAACAAAAATGAAACTTAATGGAGTTTCAAAATGGACAAGAAATTGTCATTATTTTTAAACCCATTGATTCTCTCCACAATCATCCAGGGTGCACGTGTAAAACACCTCATTATTTCACATGGAAAGTCTCAAGTCCTCCTCTAGACGAAGTAAAATTTTAAACTAAAATACCTGGCCTATCACATATCGGAATCTTTCTCTTTGCTACTGGAACATCATGGGAGAAAAAGGCAAACACTAATTCTCAGAAAGAGGCGATCTGGGAATTGATCGCACAGCTCCTTTCTTCTGGGGGCATCATTCTTCAGTCGACTATGATACTTAAAGGGGCAAAGTTTAAAACTACTCCTCAGCAATAGAGACCATTTGGGGCATGCACCCTGCCATAATCAATGAGTGTTTAAAATGCTACCCATTTGTTTTTTCAATAGGTTCCAAACAAAAAACGCTCTATCTTGTTTGTGCTGCATGGCTGCCTTCGAGCTCCACACCGGATTTGTAGCTAAGCTAGGTAAATGGGAGGGTTTTTAATCTTTATTTTTTTTTTTTTCCTTTTTCAGTTAGGCCAAGAATTATTCATTCTAGTAAACAAAAGACAGTCCATTTTTGAAAATTAGCAATGCTTCGACTAGACTGTAAGCAGTGATTTCTATTTTATGGAGTTATTAGCTCCATCGTAGGCGACATGAAAGTATGCAATGCCACAATGTTGAGTTAAGATAATCAACATCTTTTTTGAAACAAAGATTTCTTTCCCCAATGTAGAATTTGATACAAGAGGTAATCTGTTCCTTTGTGGGCTGAAAAAATCTGGTTTACGCTGGTTTGAACCGGTGGAATCTCTTGTGGCTAAGCCTTCTGCTGTGACTGAAATCAAAACCGCACTGCAGAGCGCGAGGGCCCGCGCGCCTCTGTGCGCTGGGCCACGTGACCCCACAACTACTGAATTTTTTTCCCCAGCTGATAACGGGACTGCCGGCTCTGTCCGCACACAGATAACGAATAAATGCTGAACTCTATTAAACGCCCTTTACACATTATCGTGGGTCGAACACACAATTTTCTGAACTTATGATGACAGTCTATTTATTTTGCTATAAACCCTCAGCACGTAACGAACAGATTTGTGCCTGGTAATGATCTGCTCTGCCAGGGCTGTATGAAATGATACCGACCTTCTTTAGATCTTGGGGAATTAAATTGACCGACTTCACCCCCTGGTCTGTAGCTGAAGTTTGACACACTTTATGCACAGCAAGCCCAAATCAGAACTTAAGAAAATCTCGTATTTAAAAATTAAGCAATCATTATCTGCTAAACATTGCTTTGCTACAAACATTTCCACACGTTTGGAACGATCCTACAATTTGTATATTTTTGAATCTTCTGTATAGGATTTACTCAGTCATGGATCAGTATAATTTAACATAGGGTAACTGTGAAACAAATGGCGCTCAAAACTAGAGCTCAGGACATTTTATTCGTCCTGTTACCCTCCTTCACTATGGAAAGTTTTATGATTTTATTCTTCAAGTTGTTTTTTTTCCTATTTTGAAAATGGTTTTCAGGGGAGGAAAACAAGAATGTTAAGTTTCCATTCCCAAACAGCATCATTACATTGAAGAACTCAACTCTCTCAAAGTGGTAAATGTTGCCATACTGAGTGGCAAATACATTTTAAAAGAGAGTGATTATGCTTAAATCTCTATAAAGCTGGTAACAAAATAGCACTCAAAGGTGTAAAGTAGGTAATTTTGTCCCTTTCTTGTAAGTCAAGAATGAGCTGTACTTGCCTGAATGAAATGGGTATGAATCAGAAATGAATTTATACAAAGCAATTAATTTGCAACAAAATGAAATATGTATTTTATGAGGGAATTAAAGAAGCATTTGAAAAATTTTAATTTTCTGAAATGTTGGCATTCCCAATCATCACAGACCTATTTATATACCCACCAGAGAATTAGGTAAACATTTATATATCTGAGTAAATGAATTTAAAGTTAATTGAAAAATTATAATCATATGCATTAACAGGCTTTAGATGCCTATGAAACTGCATCATAAATTGTCAGGATGAGAAACAGTATTTATTGCACTTACATTTGTCTAAATCTTCACAGAGAAACCTCTATAGGCTGGATGTATACAATGCATTGAAAATAGTCAGTACTTTGTTTTACCTGCTTGTAATCATTGCTACCTTTTCTTTTATTTTCATTTTCTAATCTATATATAATTTAATCTTAATATGTAATATATAAGTATATATTATATATAGTCAATAATATAGAAAAACATTTTTATATAAATATTACAGATAATCCTATCTAAAACACTTTATCTTCTTAGCTTCTGAGGTACAAAACTAATATGAAGAACCAAATTAAAATTTTTACTTTCTTAAAAAAGAGATCTTTTAGGGGCTGGGGATTTAGCTCAGCGGCATAAGCGCCTGCCTTGCAAGCAGGCAGTCGTGAGTTCGATCCCTGGTACCGATAAAAAGGAAAAAGACAAAAAAAAAAAAAAAAAAAAAAAGAAGAGAGAGATCTTTTCCTTGAATTCTTAGTCTAAATGAATCCTAATACAGAACAAGAAGTTATTTTCAAGTGACCACATTTGGTTAAGGAGACATTTCAATTAGAGAAATTTTAATTCCTATATTGTGACACTTACATGACAAAGAGCCTCAAAACAAAACTTAATGACTTCATCATCATAGGAAAATTTTGCTGTATAGTTGGTAACAAAATACCTATAAAGTAAAGCATATTTTTTTGAACTTTCAAATATCCTTCAAATTTTTGACTGAAAAGTTCGTGTAAGTAGTCATCTAAGTTACATATTCTCTGGACTATAATTTATCATACTCTATTTATTGAAGTGACAGCTCCTTACCACTAAACTTCAGGTTATCCAGAATTTGTAAGTTTGATTTATACAAGTCCAGGAGAAGTCTCTGCATAATCACTTTAAAGTGACAGAAATACAATTTGAAAAACTGAGAAAATATGGACTCAAATGTATTTTTGTGGAATAGTTTTCTTTAGGCATAAAAATCATCTGTATATGTATGTAAGGCAAATATTTTAGGCACATAAAACGTCCATTAAGAGAAGTGAACATGCTTTTAAAAAAGGATTCCTGTCATAGAACTACAACATCCATTACAATAAAGGAGTCTGAGTTAGACAGGAACACCCCCATCTTTTCTATTTCTTCTACATTAGGCAGTAGTTTCAAATGAGGAAAAAGATCTGTAGCTTTTTAAAGAACTGACATGGGAACTACACATTTCACTTTTTTGCAAAATAGACTATGCTTTTTTACAGCAGATAGAAGAGAAAATTATGATTCATTCATTCATGCGGTATGAGCAATCCAAATCTCACTTTTATAAAAGAAGAAAATATTTTCTCTCTCATCTTCACATTATTTAATCTATTATGAGTAAAACCCCTTCATCACACCATTCTTTTATGTTTGATGCACTATTTTTTTTTAACTATTCTCACATTTCAGTCAGAAAAGCTGAAATCCCAAGTCAAATATGAACATGTTTACATGTCTGAACTCAGGCTGATAGCATCCAAATAGTGGAGGAAGTGAGAACTTCATCAAAACCAACTATCAGCTCAGTGATTCTCCTCTTTTTGAGGGGCAGGCAGAGACCTTAATCATACAAGCAACAGCCCTGTGTATAAAACTAACATTACGCAAGATAGTAATACAATCTCAGCAATTATAATCTATTTGAAATGGTAAATACCATTACTCAGATTGTATAACATGGATCAAATGTTATGTTTCACTATGCTGTTAAATGTTGCTTTACCCAGTCCATGATTTATGTTCAGTGCTATTTCAGCAGAGTACAGACCTTTACAATACTTGCCAAAGTAACATTAATGAATACATTCAGGTTTTGCTTGTTAAGTTCCCTGCAACCAATCAGTCTCTAGGGGTGTGTGAGACATTATCTCTACAATGAGGTGCTTAAAACAGTTCTTTAAAGTCGTATATATTATCTATATGAATTTATGAAGTCTGCAGTATTAATTTTAAAAAAAGAAGTAGAACATAATCAGACCTACAGCACTACGGTGTGATCCAATAAGAAATGACAGCCAAGTTTTAAGATCCTTTTCAGAAAACTTGTATCTTATTTTTTGCCTGTGCATATCTTAAAGTGCAAAAAAAGACTTATCCTATTATTATTATTATTATTACTATTGTTTGACAGAAACAGGTCTCTATCTGGGTATCCAAGTTTCACACTGGTGCCTATAATTTGCATTTTGGTGAATGTATTTTTAAGAAGCTACACAATAGGAGACTGAGCTGTGCTGTTGAATTTTGAAAGCTTACTTTCATTTGTTTTGCTGCAAGTGTTGATTTAATTATACTGCATTATCAAAGCTGTATTATGTACTTTTTTATTCCTTTTAAATGTGTTTGAGGTGAAGACCTTGGCTTTGTCTGCAAACAGTGTGTTTCAAGTTATTCCTTAAGTACTAAATAATAAAGAAAAGAGAAGAAAAGATTTTTTTAAAAGATAGCAGACAGTGATCACAAGGTAAAGGGTTAAATGTAAGATCTCCAAGAAACATTTTGAAGTTGATTAAGACTCCAGCTTTGCATTAAACAGTATCGCTTCCACATGAGTTGCTGCTAATGCTGTTAAGGAGCAGCTTGAGAGCCCAGTGTGCCAGTGACCTCCTTCACCCTCCAGCCACCCACCGGGCCTTCCTGATTAGCATTCTACCTGGTTCTCTGAGGAATTCCCATCATCCCCTAGGAGCTCATTCCGTACTTCGTCACTGTAGGCGATCCGTGACCTTTTCTATAAAACAAAACAAAAAGGGAAAGAGTGAGATGAACGTTAGAAAGTAAAGGCTTCGAAGCGTTATTGGTATCAAGGCTTACCATCTCAAACCTCGAGAGCCCCCTAATGGAAACCTATTGGCAAAAATCTGCAAACCTAAATTGTGTAAAGTTCTCTGAACTTGAGAAGTTTAGTGTCAATTAGAAGTTTTCAAAAATGCCAAAAATGAAAAACCTGCATTGTGTAAATATTTTATTAACATTCATAAGGGATCTTAACTTGTATATTACTCCACACATCATCATTCAAGTAAGAACACTAAACTGAAAAAAATACAGCTAAATAGCTGTGTATCTATAGAACAAAGATTAAAATTAATATAGAAGTATAGAAAGCCTTTAACATTATAGTAGGAAATGAACTTACAACTTGGGGTTTTTAAAATCCGTGATTCTAATATAATAATTACATCTCTAACTCGAGTGCAGAATGCCTGGACTAACTATATCTATATTTCTTTTATAATCGTGATGTTACTAACAAGAAAGAGAGGGTATTTAAAAGCCCATTTCTCGTTCAAGTGATAATTTAAATATCTCTGACTTCTCTATAAATAATATTCTCAGGAAAAGCAATAGGGTTGTGTGTGTGTGTGTGTGTGTGTATGTGTGGTAAAGCAAATTAAGTTTCCCAGTCCCAGTAAAGGCAAGTAGGCTATTAGTCAATCTTTCATAATCTCAGTAAGTAAAGACAACTGGACTATGAATCAATACGTCATTAACTGTAATTTTGTTTTATACAAAATCTACCCTTGCCTAAAAAGTCAGAGGGACATGTCTTCAGTGCAAGCAATTTGCAAATTAAGAAGCTGTGAAAATTAGTTGTGAAACTAGAGTATTCCTCAGTTCCTGCTTCATCTTTAACACTTCAGACCCAAATTTAGGTTTACGAGTGAATACTTTGTTGCCTTTTCTGCATCTGAAATAATTAAGCAAAAAACGATCAATTAAGAGTGATAGGGAAGTGGGTAAGAAGAAGGGGCAGAAAGGGCGAGGGAGTAATAGGTAACACATTACGATACGTTAAGTGTATCTACAGCTTCCCAAAATACCACCCCCATCAACATGTTTTTTTCAAAATAGGCAGGCAGGAAAGAGTAATCTCTTTTTTCAGTTAAGATCTGTGTTTGGGACTTAAAAAAGTTTTACCTGTTTAACTGTGATCTGAAAAAGTATCACAGTTTAAAAGGACTACCTATAATCTATGAGTAGAAGTTAACAGCAAGATTTTAATTTGAGACTAGTGAAATTTCAGACTACTGAAGGAGTAGCATTGCCTGACCACCTAGAATCGATATCATCTTAAGCATAAAATTGTATTATACTGGAATTTAAGAGGAACTCAGACAAGACTAACTAATAAGTTTTAAATCACTTAAAACAGTGTTTCTCAACTGGGGTTTCTGACTAAAACCAAAAACCAGAAAATTATCTCAATTTCCTCAAGATAATTTAGTTCACTGCATATAATGAAGGCTTTGGCTTGTGGCTGTAGCATAACCCACTTTAAAAGACTTAAGGCAGTATCAATAAAAATATATACCTATAGATAACCCCCTTTTTCATAAATGGAACAAATCAGTTTCATGGAATTCTAACGATAGTTTTGGTTAAACTGGGACTAGAACTATAGGGTCCTGATTCACACAGTTCAGTGCTTATTCTACCTCACGGTAACCATTGTTGATACCCTGGTACTCTGTTTTTACATCTTGTGCTATGTCTATCCTTGGTTTTGACTGACAGCTTTGTTTTATCATGTTTGATTTTATTCTCTTACAAAAAAAAGTAATAAGATCTATGGGAGCAATAAAACCCAAAATGTGTAAATTTTGTTGTAATAAAGAGAGGGGGAAAAAAAAGTGCCCTAAAGGTTACAACAGCAAGTGTGTTTAGGTATGTTAAATAGATGACCATATTAATATTTTGAATGGAATATATTGAACACAACTATTTGTAGTCTCACTGTTTGAATGTTCACTTTGTATGCTTTGATCCTGTGACCTGAATCACCGTTTCAAAGATGATAATGTGTAATCTATTAACTGGTGATATTTTACTGGTGATTTTTTTGTTTGTTTGTTTTGTTTTTTTTGTAGTTCTGTATTACTTGTACCCTTACACTGTTTTGTTTTGCTCTGTTTTTTTCTCTTTTTCCTCTTAAATAAAAAAAAAAATTCCTCCTTCTTCTAATACTTGCTAGATTATTGGAAGAAAAAGGTACACGAATTACAAAATATTACAGTACAAAGGTAATAGTGGAATCTCCTTTGGTCCTGAGTCTACCTTCTATGGCTTACTTTCCTACTACAAATATATATTTTATATCTTATCAACTGCAATAAGTCTGTAAGTAGATAAATGCAACTGCAGCAGTGTTGCAGGGAGAAGAATGAATTGGAGAAGTTAGATAATCGACCTGAGCTTGGTAAAAACATCTATATCAGATCGCTTGAAAATTCAGGAAAGATCCAAGATATTCATTTGTGAACATACCAAATGTTCTACCACCACACACAGTGTATATTAAATCCACTTCTCTTAGTGTGTTTACTGAAGCTATTGTTAATTAACTACTTCTATTGACTGACACAGAATTGTACTGAAAACGCTAAATTACATAAAGTCTATTTCATGTTCTTAATACAATATTTAGGTCAAGCTAACACTTTCTTTTGCCCATTTTGATATCCCCACTATAGGAGTTTCAAACTAGCTAAGCAAAAAGTATTTTACAGCATTAAAGGAAGTGAGAACCTTTAAACAGGCTGTGGTATCAGAGCTGCCTTCTTAATTATTCATTTTATCACTATGGGGGACTAAAACATTCCACAGTGTGCAGGAAGGGCATATAGAGATTGTTTTTGTTTTTTTCCCTTTTTTCACCAAAATACCAGCCAATTGACAGATTGTTCAATTACAATATAGTCTCATTTTGATGTAGCATTTTGATACAGTGCTTCAAAATAAAATTATAAATGTGTATTGCTCAATATCCAATCTTTTTTTAGTTAGAATGCTCTGTTTTTGAGAACTAGCAATTAAGTGTGTATACATGCTTAGCAATACAGAACTCAGGATTCATCTACAGTAAAGGGTGGTCCTTATAAATGTCATTCTTTACCATTGGGATGGCAAAAAACCGGTCATTTGAGTAGCTCTTCGGGATGTAATTAAACAATTACTTATTTTAATAAGTACCTACATAATACTTTAGAGGATTCAAAGTTAATAAAGCCAACACCTCTACTGTATCTTGAAAAACCTAACTAAAACATTTTTGTTTTATTATCAATAGTATAAAATCTGTACTTTAGCCAAATGCAAGCATGAGAATTTGAGCTGGAAATGTCACACATTCAGATACAGTTTGAAGGAACCCAATTCATAATGCATTTTATAAATAGTTAATGACTTCTATACATAAGCTAACCAGGCAAATCAAGAAATTGTCAACATTTTTAGTCTTAGTTGTCAGTTACCACTGTCTACTGGTGCTTTATATGTGGCTCCTGGAAAAGACAGAGGCTCTATGCGGTTTGTAATCTACTGCAATTTCTGGTCTATACCATAAGGGTGGAAAAATGTCAACTGACAATATTTGCCACACACACAAATTTACACACATGCACACACAAAGGTTGTTAAATACAAAAGCATGCTTCAGCTTTAGTTGTGTGCTTATGTGAAGTGTATTCCTTCTAACTTCTATATACTTCAGTGGACCAGACAGAGACGGCCAAACATCTACAGAACATGTTTGAACAAAAATTATGACACTAACAACTGACTGTTAACCCTAAGAAGTCTGACATGCAAAATTTCAGTGGCTATTTTAAATCAGTGGCAAAAATTAGTCTTTGTTTATAAAGCAAGAATTTCAGGTTCAAAGAAATTTTCAGTTTTTCGTTTGGCACATGATTAGGATTTTTGCGTACTGATTGGTGGATTTTCTTAAAGTCAAGTTCAGACAGACACACTTATTCAGTTTTGTCTAGAAATTTGGCTTGAAATAATCTACTTGACCAAAGCATTAACATTTTCTAACTGTGCTACGTGGGTTTGTGGATGGGCCCTACTATATTAGAAACGAAATGGATTCATTTATTTTAAACTAATTAAAAACTGTGACGTATGGTACTGTGTCTTGTATGATTCTATATATGGAACTGGGTACACATAGGCAGAGTGAGGATTCAACAGCTCACTGTATGCAAAAACATAACAACGAAGTTGGTTTATTACTAAACCATATATAAGAATTTAATTTCCATGGTGTGCACATGGCAAAGCGATTGCTTAAATTGCCTCACCTGGGAATTTAATACAATGTTATCATCAGACCAGCCACATTGTAAATAGATTTATAATGCTTTCCATGTGCTGTACTCTGTTGCATATGAATTAAGCAATGATCTGGTATTACAATAAAATCAGCTAGTTCCCACACCTGGCAGACAGGATATTTCACTAAATTAATACCCATACAGCCACATCACAAGGCATGGGAGAGGAAACCAACTCACAAGCATTCAGCTTGAGTTGACGTGGGAAGCAAATACTTTCTGGCTATGTACAATGTCACTACATTGCTCAGACAATCTGTTTCTAACATCTGTATTGCAGAATTAGGACTTTCTCATTCCCATTCAATTTTGGCCTAATTTCCTTCATTCAGTACTTTAATTACTAATCAGCAATCCACAACATTCACAAACACTAAAAAAGCCCTTTATTCTAATCTATGTGCTGCAGACAGCCAAATAATTGATATAAAGTGCAGTATGGTTTTGGTAAGTAATGAAAGAACAGCTTGTCCTATTTTCTAATCAAATTGCTCTATAGAAGAAATGGTTAATAGATTTCTCCATAGTTCTAAAACAAATTACACAGTCTGGTCAGACTTTTCCATTGCTTCTACCATGTTTTTCAGCCTTCATATATTTTAATAATGCCCAA